ACTCAGTTTTATAGTCAATAGATGGTGCTCAAAAATAGAAAATCCCACACCAGCTGCTATTAGTACTAGGAAATGACCAAATATTTGCTTTAATTGGGTTAAAGTGGGGTGGGAGAAAAAAAACAGAGGAGGGTGAAAGGCCTGTCACAGCTTCTGATGGTGACAGGCAATTTGGGGTGCCTGCATTTGTATGAACCCAGCTTGAGAGCTCTTAAGGGAAAAAAAAGAGCAACTAACTTTCAAAGTGTGCACCCCAAAAGGCTCAGAAAACCAGATTCCCTCAAGATGCACCAAGCAGGGCATCCGAGAGGAGGGGTACCACCAAAAGAATCGTTACCCGTGTTTGTAAACCACCTTCTTGTTTGTTTTTGAGAATATTATGGTCTCTGATGCCAATTTAAAATCAAGTGCACTGCCAAATGTGGCTTATTTGGCTGCTGTAAACCCTTATCAGGCAGCTCTAAGCTTACCCACTCCAGCTGTAACTGTTAGAAGGAGCTTGCATATCTCTTTATAAAAGCTAACAAAGTCTTTCTGTGTGTTTGCCTGCTGTGTGGCTCCCCAAATCATCATGGTGCTGCAGCCTGGCATTCCCAGTCACCTCTCATTAGTAGCAAGCTCTGGCATGGCTGCTAATTGCCCTGAGGAGTGGAGGGGAACCCACTTTGATGTCCTTGTATCAAAGTGCTGGAGGCTTTAACTCCATGCCTGGTAAATCAGCACAGAAAGCCCCAGGACAGGATTGTTCATTGAGTCCCAGTCAAAAGCTTAGTTTTAAGTACTCCCTGGCTCCAAAGTTTTGCTGGAAATGGTGCCATGCCTTTTCCTATGCTAAGACTTTGGTTGAATGGAAGGATTCAGGATTAATTAATGCTAATTAAGGGACTGGGTTAAGACTCAGAAAACTTTGATTCTTGACTCTGTCACATCTGAGGCAAATTGCTTTTATCAGAAGCCATTGTTTGCCTTCACTTCCTGAGCTTGCAAAGGGTGAAAAAGGATAACCCAGGGTGGGTGACTGGGACCTTAGGAGGCTGTCCAGTCCCTGCCCCTGCTCCAAGGCAGGATGAAAGGCACTGTGGTTGTTCCTGGTGCCTTCTTGAGGAGCCCAGCACTGGAAGTGCCACCGTCTGCCTGGCCAGCCCTTGACGGATGTGGGGTCTCAGGAGAGAGGGGAAGGTTGGGAATAGAGGGGATGTGTGTCACCCTCATGGGCAGCGTGGGGTTCTGCATCACCCTGAAGCCATGACTGTGTGGTTGGGTAGACCCCTCTGCTGTGGGGGGGCTCTATCCACCCTTGCAGTGCCCCTGAGGCACCCTGCTCTTTGCCTGGTAAGGGCATGATGAAGAGTGGAGGAGATACTTGTAGAAAGATACATGCTAGTGATGAACATGCAGGGCAGGGGACTGTGCTGCTCACTGTATTGCAGGGTAGTCCTTTAACCTCTGTCATGCTGCTTGTATATTTGCTTATTTGCAAATAGGAATAGTAATGCTTACATGCTGCTCCAGTGTTAAAAGAATAGTTTTGTCTTACTAGCCTGGGTTTTCCCACCCCTTCAAAGAGGAAAATATTTTCCTTGACAGTATCTTTCAAAAGAAAGAGAATTTAGGCAGACTATCTTCTTTTATCAGTCTGAATATGACAAAACCCAGAGCGTTTTCTCTGTGCTACCAGTATATATTTCCTGCCATAATGGAGAGCTGTCTGGGTAAAGGAGTGAACTGTGGAGATGCCTCAGACTGCAGCCTGCCATTTTTTAGCTGGTAATATACTATTTAGTCTATTTATGTAAAGATAAATTAGCTGGATCACTGGAGTTGAAAATTCTATTTTCTCCTAATGAACTGGACATAGAAAGCTATCAAATCGTATTAAATTATTTAGTAGGAAATCTAGCTTGTGTTCTCCTTTATCTCTGGAGATGAGTGAAATGTGAGGTCTAATCTAATTTTCAGACAGTGTTCTCAAAAACAGTGGGATTTTTGTGTAGCCTTTACTCTGGTCACTCCAAGTGTTTAAAAATGTCTTTTTATATTCCTATTGCTCTTGTTTTGCTTTGCCAGTGGGTTCACCTTCAGTCTTAAGAGAAGCTACATACCGTTTCAGAAAAATACTGACTACTGATTGTGAAGATTAAAGTAAACTTCAAGAAATTTCACTAAATGGGTCATGATCTTGGGACTATATGTATTAAGATACCTGAAACAGAATTTATCATGAGAGGAAAATGAGTAGGTCCTATTAGGAGCCTTTGTACTCCTTTTTTTTTCCATAATAGGCATGATTCCTTATGTAGAATTTAGCAAATTGGTCCTGGGACCAATCAGCTTGCCAGGTAGGTGGAGAATAACTATTTATAGTCCTGCCCAGAGAAGGTGGTCTATCTCTTCAACTGCTTAACCTCCCTCTCCTCTTTCCTAAGTAAAGAATTGCCCAACATGGAGGAGTTTTCTTCAAAGGGTCAAGGCAACAATCAGTGATGTTGGTTGGCATGCAAAGTCTAAAGACAGTATGAAATTAAATGGAAGTGCAGTCAGAGGGAAACCTCTGGAAGACTCTTCCTCTTTGTTACTTTCAATTTGCAACAAATTGCAAATTCTGAGCAAATATATAAAGGTGAGAGGAAATCACTTGAAATGCTTCGATTCATGGCTTTTCAGCTCATGGTCTCTATCAATGTTTGTTGTACAATGCAAATGAAAAGAAAATAGATGAAACTGCCAAATCCTTTTTTTTTAAATCTGTTTTTATTTGTTTCTGCTTTTAGAGGTAAGCCATGCTGATCTCAAAACACATGACCAAAAGGTCATCAGGTGCTTGCAAATATTTGGAAAGGAATTTGAGGGGAAACTGTAAAATAAGATTTGGTTTTAATGCAGCACTATGGGAAAACATTGCATTTTAAGTTTCAGTAACCCCTTACTGTTCTCATGCACCTACTTTATGGGTTTTTTGGGGGGAGGGGTGGTGGTAGTTGTATTTTTCTTTTAAATTTAGTTTGACCAAATGGGCCAGACTAATACAGATTTGGTAAAAAGTTCTGAGTGCCACACTCCAAAATGCTTTTGAAATCACCAGGCTTTACTCTTGTGTTAAATCATGCACCATGCCTTACACCCCTCCAGATTAAAATCTCAGGCAGGTCAACAAATTCATCGAGTGAGGTTACTCATTCATTTCACTGCAGTCCCCAAACCGGAACCACACACACACCATTTCACTGCAGGTCTCAGCTGGGACTCTGCTAACCCCACGATTAGCACATGTTCATTCATTTACCTTGATGCTCTTGAGATCGATTGCGGGTTCTTTGGGTTTAGCTGGTGCGGGTGCTGGTGCGGGTGCTGGCGCAGGTGCTGGTGCTGCTGCTGCCGCCGCTGGGTTCTTTACATCCTTCTTTGGGGCCCTTTTGTGGTGCTTAAACTTGAAAGTAAAGGTGCCCCCCCCAAAAAAAAAACTTTTAAAAAAAAATAAATAACCAAAACCTTAAAAGTGATTCCCAGGAGAGGAGCAGTGGTCAGAATGAGCTACAGCCTGTGCCCTGGAGGTGGACCCAATGTGCTAAACTCTATAAGGGCATATATATATTTCACTTAGTGCCTCGTACAGTCCTGACACATGCAGCTGGATTGGACAGCTTGCTAATCAAGGGGGATGTCATTCCAGCTTGAGCTATAAATGGAATATAAGAGTTCAGGGCTTCATTAGATCAAGGGACTTTGGTGGCTTTTTCCCCCCTCTTTAAAAACCCCAACCATCTCCCCTGTATTTTTTTTAATGTGTGTAAAGGAGAGGGAAATATGACAAACCCAGTCTCAGATCTGCTGTTGACATTCAGACATGGATTGAACAGTCTTTTTCCTCATCAGAATTTCTGTTCTGCTTAAGTAATAAATCTTTCTTTCTTTCCCTCCCCTTTTCCCCCATGCCTGTGTAGCACTCCAGGAGGATTTGGTTTCAAGTAGGAATTTTGACTTTCATGGCTGGGAAGATCATCAATTTCCAACCTCATTTGTCTCTCCCTATAGCCCCTCACTCCTCCTCTGCTTGCTTCCTTTTACAAGGAAGTGTTGATCAAGCAAGGCTCTGGGTGTTTAAAAATAAAGCAGACAAATATGGAAAACACTGCAGTACCTTCAGCCAAGGCGTCTCTCCCGGACCCTGAGTGTCTTTCAGCTGTTTTTACTATTCCCTTCTATCGTGTTAAGACTGTGTTTAAAATTGAAAATTGCTTCCTTTAATCTTTTCTTTTGATCTTCTTTTTTGTCTCCTAGGGATGAGCTGTGCCCTGATAGAATGGAGGTCAGCTGGATATTACGTTTTCCCACACAAAAGGTTTCCTTTTGTAACGTGTTTGACTGAAAACTAGTTACCAGGCAAAGGAGGTACTTCTGTTTTCACCTTGTTTGCTTGTTGCCCATCCTGTGTCTCTTATCTTTCTACCCCTCGGACTCCTGATGGAACTCCCTGCTCCCCATGTTCTCCAGGAGCAAAAACTTTCAGGAGAAGATGGCTTTTCTGTTTTTCAGCACAGCAAAACAGCTCCTCTCTCTTACAAACCTGATGGTTCCCCTGGGTCTATACGACTGAGATTTTCTGCAGAAAAATCCAGGACTGCTGATTGTTCCTCCCTTGTCCAGCAATCTTTTTCCCATTTACTTTCCAGACTCCTGAAGTTCTGTGCTAGTAAGCACGAGGTTTTTGATGGGGGCCCTTATTTCTGTCTCATGAACTATACTGTGGAGTGGTTTGTAACTAGAAATTTAGAGCCTGAAGGTCTGGACAGACACTTTGCATCCAAGGTCTGGCAGGGTATCCAAGCACTTGCATTTTAGATTAATGTGTTTTAAGGAAGGTAAACTTGCAAAAATGCACACCAAAAAATGGGATGGAGCGTGGCTAAACGTGTATTTCCATGTAAGAAAACTTGTGCTCAGAGCTCTTCTTTGCTATGGGACCTTGAGGAAGAGACTTTTTAGAAGTTCAGTCATCTCTTTTGAATCAATAGACCTATACTGATGCACAAATTTGAAGCCTTGGCTCAGTCTCTGCTTTAGAGAACACAGACCAGGAGAGATTTTATTTCCTTTTTTCTACCTTTAGTTTTGTGAATGCTTTGGGACAAAGAGCCTGTGATTTATGAGCTCTGCTGGCTGCCTTCAAGGTGTTTGATGGAGGGATCCCTGCTCTGCTGGTCTGTCTGGGAAGGTGATGGCATAGCCTCTCCTGCTCCACTGCAGGTTAGCAGGAGCCTGTGGGCTATCATTCCTGAGGGACCTGATGAGGGCACCTCCAGTGATGCTGATGTTTTACACTGCACAAACCAAACTTTAGCAAAATCTACCAGTGGAAGTGGATCCTGGAGGTATAACTTGAGTAGAAATAGTCTAAAATAATTTTTATACTTCTCTACACCTGTGAGAACTTTAAGTAATTGCAAGAATGAACCAGTGATGATCTAATAATTTCTACCATCACCTGAGATTTGCAATGAAATAAGCATGAAAGCCAACATAAAATATATTTTAAAAGGAAGACAAGCTTTCAAAAATGAAACATGAACTTAGTGCTAGCTTTGCACAGTGTGGCCTGTCTGAGAATGCAGGTATACCTGGACATGCTTTCATACTGCCAGAAAAAGAGGTTTGGTGAGGAGCTGCCACAAAGTAATTGTAATTGATCAGGTGAGAAGATAAACAGGTGCAGAGGAGGAGGAGGATGGCAGGTCTTATTTCAATTGCTGGGTTAAGGATTTGGATCCAGTCAGTTTTATGGGCTTGGGACAGGACACCGTGGGTTAACTGTCTGAGAATGCAGGTATACCTGGACATGGCTTCATACTGCCAGAAAAAGAGGTTTGGTGAGGAGCTGCCACAAAGTAATTGTAATTGATCAGGTGAGAAGATAAACAGGTGCAGAGGAGGAGGAGGATGGCAGGTCTTATTTCAATTGCTGGGTTAAGGATTTGGATCCATATGGGCTTGGGACATGACACTGTGGGTTAATCTGCCTGGCAAGCATGGATGTGTCCCAAGACATCTCTAGGAGTGTGTTGGGTCTGTCCCTAGGGAGCAAAGTCATCCCAGGGGATGCAGAGAAGACGTGTCCCTGTGCTCTTGCATGGGAGCTGCCATCCGCAGGCCTCTGGTGGTGGTGTACCGTCTCACCCTGGGCTGCAGAGCTGATTGCAAGGGCTGCATCTCCTCTTCCACTTTTAGCAGCAGCTTCACGTGAGCAGGAATACTAGAGCCAAACCCTCAGCCTCTCCCTTATGCTTGCTGGGACTTGGTGAGATCTGCTCTAAGGGAAAGTGGCAGCAGCTGGGGATGAGAATTATCACTGGCATCTGCCTTGTTGGGCACACAGCACCTGGGGGGGGTGCATGGATGCCTCTCTCCTGCAGGAGAATCCTTTGAGCGGAGGCATAACAAATGGTGACGGAGCTTCAGATTTCACAAGGCCCCAGAAAATCCGTTAGCGAGAAAGCTGTTGGTTGGAAATCATGCCCTGTTAGCCCTGCTACTCTCTGAAACAGGGGGCAGCTTGCTTGTGGCTTGCCTAGCTTTTATGAACGGTTTAATTGATGAGGATGTGGTCCTGGCCAACACAAAACTTTTATGCGTTTGGGCTGCATTTAGGTGCATTAATATAAGGGAAGTGTGTTTTCCATCCAGAGCATTGATGTGATTCATTCTGACACTTCTGGAGTATGTTCCTTTTTTCAGGCTAAAGTCACTTAGAGGTGGCATTGATTGCAGCACCAGAATAGAAGTGGGAGTTCCTGCACTGGATTGCATTCCCTGTGCAATTACTCTGAAGCCTTTGCCTTTCTAGTCCAGTTTTAACAGGATGGCTCTGTCTTGGTGTTTCCTACAGCCCAGGGAGTCAGGCCCTCATCCAGGAGGAGGGAGGCGATGGTTTAAATCCATGCAGTGAAGTAGGAGATTAGATCCCCCTGTATTTCAGGGGAGCGTGCAAGTGCTGGAGCTGTTGGATGAAAGGGTGAGCACTGCTGCTTCTGCTGGGTTTCACAATGAACTCCCTTTGAGACTTTTGCCTTTTGCTGTCTAAAATGCCTGAAAATGCAGTTAACTTGCCATTTTGCCAGTAACTTAAAAACAAGGTACTTGTTTTTTCATTATCCACATAGGAACTTTATTTTCCTTTTACACTTTTGATACATCCACTAAGCCACAGGTTATAATGACTGCCCCAGAGACATTTCTAGTAGTTGTGTATCTGCAGTGTTGCACAGGGTTCAGAAGGTAAAGCAAGCTTCTTCCAGGGTAAGTTTGCTCAGAAGAGTTTAGGCCAGTGGTTTCCTCCTGGCTGTTTTACTCTGTTCAAGGTAGCCAGGGCAGCCAGAGGGCTGGTTTAGGAGGCCACAGAAGACATCCTTTTTGGGCAAAATCATGCTAATTTATATGGTACTACTCTATGACCAAAAGGGCCACTGTGAGTTTAGTGCATCTCTGCCTGCTTCAAATGTGTTTTCCTTGCTTTACTTTGTGAAACTTTTGGCAAGTTCATCACAGGATGCCAGATCAAGCAGTAGGGGAAGTGGTGTTGGTCACTCAGAAGGCTCTGGTGGGATCTTGCTTTCAGGCAAGGCGTGTAACACTGAGAATATAGACATTGTTTACAAATACCTAAGGACAGTCAACCTATTCCAAACTCTTCTTGGAGCCTTTTTCCTGTCCTGTGCACACTTACCTTCTATCGTTTCAGCTGTCTGATGTGTTCTCTCTTTCCTGTGATCAGCTCCTATCTGACACCTGCTGCTGCTGTTAAATACTTGCCATGTTCCTTGTCTGAAGGTTGAGTGGCTGCAATGTCAGCAGGACAAATTGCAGGTGGAGGTGCACTGTTTGGTAAGCAACAAGCTTTGAGAAAGATTACAATAGTTTGGAGTTGTGCCCTGGTACAGCCACATACTTTATTCAGCCCTTAAGTGGGAAATGGTCCTGTTATCCAAAGTTACAGAAAGTACAGGGAAGCTTATGGAGAAGCCTTTTGAACACAAATGAGGGACGTTCAGTGAAATTAAAAACTAATATGTGGGAATGATGTTTTTTCCAACACCAGTTAGAATGTGAAACTTGTTGCTGGGGGACTATTTGAGGCCAAGAGCTTAAGATGCACAAAGGAACTGGGCATTTACACATTTATCAAGAATTTGGAAGGAATATATAATCCATTTCACTGTGCTTAAAGCAGTTCTTGAACTGGTAGAGACTGGGTGCGTTTTTCGACACCCAGATGCTGCAGAGATCCTTGTGCTGTCTCTTAAACGTGTAGTTTTGGTCATAAAAGAGAGATTAGTGCCTCTGCTAGACTGCTCGTCTGGTTCAATTCTCGCACCTTTTACCACAGGCTTATAGTAACAAGCCAGGGATCCACTGCCAGCAAACTCTCTCAAGAGCTCTGCTTCAGGCTGTAATGCTGACTGTGTGCAACAGGGTGCCTAACTAATCTGCTAATGATTTATCTTTGTCAGTGCTTACAACGTGCAAGGTACTTTCAACACAGCAAAGTGATCTGCTATCCAAGATGCTCACAGCTGTAGG